GAAAACATCTCTCAAGCCGAAGATCTTCTCTACCGTATTCACCTACAGACCAACCTACTAGTTTGTTTTCCACTTCAAATATAATGAACATAAATACACTATCTACTTCATCATCACCTCTCAGATCTCTCACGATTGCACCGTCTTCTTCAGCATTTTCTTCATCATCACCTCGTAGGTCTCTTACTTTTGATAAGACACTCACCCCATCTTCTTCATCATCAACTTCTTCTGTCACCAACCAGCCAGCATCATCTAGACCCTCTACTAAACCACACATTCATACCCGACAGAGTGATAAATCCAAATTCAATCTACCAAAACCAACCAAACCTATTCTCATCATTGGATCGTCAAATTTAGGCCGTATCCCAGAAGGCACCTCAGAAACCCAAATAGAGAGCTTTCCAGGTGCAAGAATCTGTCATTTGAAGTCTATTATCACTAAAGCAGAAACCAGTCAAGTACCAAATAAAGTAATAGTACATGTAGGTTTAAATGATAAACAAGAAGATGGTAATTTCATCCACATCCAAATGTTGGAACTGCTGTCAATTGTCCGAAACAAGTTTCCAAAAGCCTCCCTATATGTCACACCGATACCAGTTTCTTCATCTTTAAAACGAGCATGTCCTGGAGCCTTCAAGAACCTATCAAAATTCATTGAACTTATCACAGCTAAACCACCAACCAATACCACTACCATTCCAGAATACTCCGGATTCATTAAAGTTCAAAACGACAATATTCATTGGACAGAGATGACAGCCAAGAATATATTTTCTCACTGGATGGCCCATTTAAACTAGATGCCGGGGGTGGACCGAAACTGGATAAAACAGTAGTGAATCTGAGCTCAAGATCATTATCTGTAATGGAATTAAGTCTATTGGACAAAGGCCTTAAATTTATACCCACGGCAGTGCCTTCATCCATTGACAAAATTTTAGATGCCACTTGCAAATTCGAACGATTAATAAAACTGGCCTATTTTTACAGAAAAACCCTTGGTAGAGGAACCCGGAAAAAGTTTGTGGAAAAATCTGATTGCCCTAATACATACCGATATTTTAGAAATTTGCGATAACAAGCGATTTGAAACTTCTCTCTTACCATTGGTAAAAGAAAATAGCAACTTGATCGCGCTGAAAGGACCATTTTAAACAACCTAAAGAACGATAAAAATATTATCATACGGAAAAGTGATAAAGGAAGCTTGTGTAAAAACTATTTCACCCTGTGGACTAAATATACAGTTTGATTCTCAAATAATCCCATTTGTTGCTCCATTCAATAACATTTCTTGCCAAGCATCCCGAATTATCAAAAGATACTACACAGAGTTACAAAATAAATTTCCCACTATTTTTTACAAAAAATTAGTCATAGCTTATTCGAAAAATAAAAATCTACAGGATATAGTTTTTCGTGGTTGACTTGACCCCACCGATGATGTAGAGTGATCTAACAGAATTAATATACTCTCATTTTCATTGTCTTTGTACTTTATAGTAGTCTAAAACAATTTACTTTCTATACCTGCAGCCATTAATCGCTTTTCTTCATTATTCCAGAAAATTTGAAGCAGTCAATGTAGATTATAAGTATTATGAATTTCTTTATTAGGTCCAAGAAGATTTATAGGATAACCGTTATGATCATCTTTGATTTAGTTCATTGCATATTAGCATCACAATTATTGTAAACATAACTTTAACCCTGTGCCAGTGCCACTTCAATCACTCTAATCTTCAATAATGACTTTCCTTATACTCATATCTTAAATGTTATTTTCAAGTGATTAAATACTTGCATTTGTTATATTTATTCCCGTGACATTGGGTCTAAATTTTCAAGTAGAGTAGATTCTCTAAACTAACCGATAATTTTTTAAGGTCGGGTGTGCCGTATTTCTATCGAAAATGGATATGTATAAGTTGTTATTATTTTGTTACAAATAGAAGTGTCGTATTTCGATCGTTAAATGAGGAATCGTAAATCTTTATTTAAATGCTGTTCTTCTCTACCTCCCCAGTTTAATAACTTATTCAGCACAATCTGTGACTACTATTTATAGTAACAATCATGCATCATTTTTTTGTGCCAAATCTTAGATTATTTCTCTAGAAAAATTACTCAAAGGTGTGACAAATTTTCAGGATCTCATTGTTTCAGTCACCTAATCTTGTAATAAGTTAAGTTTAATTCATTTTTAGAATTTTATTTATTATCAACACAAAACAAGCAAAAAACAACACAACTGGCTTATTTATATAGTATGCTGACATCGCCGACTTTCATTTAGGAAACGATTAAAAACATCGTTGGACTTTCAACAACCGACAATCGATTGTTGGTGACAATCAGAATGTCAGTAGTCCTTCTCAGTCTAATAATTCACCTGCTGGTAAATAGGTCTGCAGGAATACGAGACGATTGAGTGTTCTTCCTGAAGGTAATCAGCAAGGTGCGCTAAAAGGGGCTATTATTTGTTGTGGGAAAAGTAGGAAGAAGAAAATTTGAAGGAAGAATCAAGAGCAATCAATAGCAACTACATCTGGTTGTCAGTCACTCACTTAACGGGCACAATCCTCAATCCACAATCCAGCAAGCGCAAAATTTGAAGGAATACCAGGACACTTGGATCTCTTTTAAAAGGAATCTCATCTGTGGTTTGACATCAGGTCTCCATGGTTCGATCAAGGATTCAATAAATTGCAAGGTGACTGCAATTACATCTGACGCAATGTACAATGTTTCTGGTGGTACTCTTAAACCATGGAAGCGCACTGCTTTGGGTTTTGGCATAGCGTATCTTACTGGATCCAAGTTATCCTTGCAGATTTTAAACAGAGCAGGACACAGCATCAGTTACAGTGAAACGAAAGGATTGGAGACGGAATTCACATATTCAGTAGAAGCTGATAAACGCGAAACTCCTGATGGCATTCGCCTTGAACAATGGTTAGCAACAGCCTGCATATTGGACAATAATGATGTTAACATAGAAACATTAGATGGCAAAGAAACATTACATGGAACCGTGGGTCATACATACCAGAACATTCTGCAGCATAACTGAGAAACAAGTAGCATTTAATAGACTTTCGAGATGGAAAGAACTGACGAAAGTTTATTGGAGAGCGAGAGATACCCCCATTTAGGAAGCCCCTCAATACGACTTTGTTTGTTTGTGGAATAACAAATGCTAATACGGCTGAATCGACCAGTACAATAACATCTAATTCGACAAAAACGGCTGAAACATCAAGTACAATTGCATCTGAATCGACAGGCGAAGAAAGAAATGTAATCTTCAAAGTCAATGAAAGCTCTGGATATATTTTGGTTTTAGAAATAGGGTGAAGGCAACACACCACTGTATGCTGGATTTGTCAGCATGTGCATTGAGGATCGAATATGCAACGAATATGTTAAATGGACCCTATATCTAAATCTCGAACTAACAATGACGTAATTAATTTTATACGAATGTAGTCCGTGATATTTTTAGAAATCCTCTTTCTCCCTCCCTTTTGAGGGTTTTGCATGCCTCTTTTTGACTAAGTTTTGGTCTAGCCTTGGAATTTGCATTTTTTTTTAGATTTTGTGAGATGATGACAGATTTGCAGGCGGAAGGATAATTCTAAAATTAGTCGTTTTGTGTGCAGTGGCAGTCAAGCGTAGTGGTCTACTTCCAGTTTGGCTAGTTCAAGATTTTCATGGTCATTGTCAATTGGAAAGTTTTCAATGAGATTTCTGGAAAAATTTATAGAATTTTGAGATTTAACATGGAAACAGATGACTAATGAATTACTGGAGTGTGTCTGTATACACTTCTCTAAATATTTATTTTACCCAACATCAGCTACCTGTAACACCTTCTAGGATGAAATCTGATGTCTGGTTTTCAAAACACCTGATGGTACTTCTTTGAGGAGTCCACTACTTTACAACCATTACTCCTGATATTGCCATTCTTTGGTTAAGATTTTTGATAAACGAAGTGTCGTGCTTGTACAGATTGTAACTTACCTTCTTTAATATCACTTACACTGCTGTCCTTTCATACGACATGTACTTTAGAACCCGTTTTTTTCCTAATGATACGACATCCTACTTATTGACTAGTATAATTGCCAATCCTATTATTTGAAACAGCTAAATCATTATTCAGTTGGAAAGACCTACCAGGCATACCCACATGTTGTAGCACAGATAAACTTATGTTTTAAAGGAATACTACCAAACTTGAGAATAAGATTATTTATTTCATACATGTGTAATCATACTATACCGATACAAAGAAAATCAGACCCATGTAATAACTGAATCAATATCACACATACGTTGAATATGATCGAACTACTTTTTTCTACTCTACTCGACTCGAATGATAGAGTTGCCATTTTTGTTTTTATAATCTCGCTTAGCAAATTCAAAGCTGAGGTGCCAGCTTATAATAGCGCAAATGGCAATGAATTACCATTAAACCATATTTTGAAACCTGTCCAAACACCCATGGGCCATATTTCCACAAGCAATACCATTATTACCTTTTTTGACAACAAATCAAGTAACATAGTCAATTTGACAGGTTTCAAAATATGGTTTAATGGTAATTAACTGTCATTTGCGCTATAGGCGTGTAGGCTATAGGGAACTCCCTATGACGTCATCTTATGTAAACATCACCTTGGGTGATAACTAACACTCACAACAAGTTTCAATAAAATCCTTCTTGAATTGTACCTTCTAGATTGTTTAAGAGCTAAGTATTGAAAGTGTTTTCAAAAACAAGGGCAATAACTCTTACTAAATATTTTATGACCGACTAACAACTATATACAGCCATATTAATGTGTGGGCGTATAAGAAGAGAATTTACATGCTTTGTATCATTGTCAAAAGTCAATAATCAAATCACCTAATTTTGTATGTAATCAATAGAATTGACTGAAACAACTTTACTATACACAACAGTATTTTCATCTACTTACCGGGTTAATGCCAGAGTCAGGATTTATTTGCAGGGTATAATTATCTTCTCTAGAATATTGAAAGAGTCCATAATAAGGATTTAACATTTCATGAGACAAAAGGTAGAACCATTCTCTGGCAACCCCACCATAATCTAAACCTTCTTCACCTCGAAATTTTACCATTAAACGCTTACGTAAATCTTTGCCTTTCATTTTCATTACTTGACGATATGAATCCTGAAAAGAAATTGATATCAAAAGAATTAAAGATGTTAAAATCAAGATTATTGAACTTAGTATAGCGCTAATTACTGCTCTAATGTGAACTTTCAATGGCACTTAAAAGAAGTGCTTTTAACTTTCTCTTAAATTAGTCAACAGTTCTACAGGTTTTTAACTGTTCAGGTAACTTGTTTTATAACAGTGGTCATGCTACACTGAATGACCTATCCAGAAGATTAAGACACATAGAGGATCTTGTAAAATAAGGATTAATATCCAAAGTTATTAGATCAGATAGATACAATAAATATATTTTGTAGCCAAATCATTTTTAACATTTGTTCATCATCAGGAGAAGTTTGTAATGTGTTGGAATGTGTTGCTCCTTTAACTCCACTGTGGTGCTGACAAATTTTGGTAGACCCAGGGTCAAGTGTTTCATAATTGATTTTCAATAGGGTTCATCCTTTGGTGATGATAAACAATTTCATCAAATATCCTGAAAATCCGTCAAGAATTGCATCTTATAGAATTTTTACAGGCTAAAAATTTAATGGTTTGTAGGAACAAGGACAATATCAAATATTTACAGATTTTCTGATTTTTAATTTTTTATCCTTGGGTGATTACAAAAACTTACACCAAATTTTATCAAAATCCGTCCAGGGCAATAACTCATGAAATGATTTTTCATTTTTTTGAATTTCATTAGGATTCATCCTTGGGTGATTTTAATAGTTTCCTCAAAATCCGTCATGAATTGCATCTTCTAGAGTGTTTACAAGCTAAAAATTGAATGACTTTCCAAAAACAAGGGCGATAACTCGATTTATCTGATTTTCAAAGGGTTCATCCTTGGCTGATTACAAACACTTACACCATGTTTCGCCAAATTCTGTTAAGAATTGTGCCTTCTACAATGCTAACAAGCTAAAAATTAAACAGGTTTTCAAATAAGGGCAATAACTCATACTAAATATTTCTGATTTTCATTAGATCGTTTTCAATCGATCTGCTGATTTCCCAAGATGCACGTGCTGCCATCTTAGTAGTATGTGACCCTTCATATTGGACACATTAAGAGCCTAAAAACCCTCAATTTTCACGTTTTTCATGTAAAAATGATATTAAAATGCTCAATTTCAGTTTTTTTTGTCTAAATACACCCAATAAGAAAGGTTCCACACCTAATTTGCATCATAAATATACCCTTTCATATTGAACGCATTAAAAAATCTAATATGAAAGCTATACACTATATGAAATCCACCCCCACAGCAAGATTTGTTTATTTTCTATAACCCCCATTAAATTAACTCAATTAAAAATAGGATTAATTTCTCTTTTTCCAAAAATTGGCAGACTTATTTAAAAAAACAAGTCCCTTATTTCCTCCAAAGCTCAAGCTATAGGTTCTGTCGCAAAAGCGGGAGTCAGTATAAGCGACGCTGTGAAAAAGTTTGACGAATTGAAAGAATTAAAGCTAATAAGAGAAACGCGAAACAGGAGATTAGAACAACGAGCTTTAGAAAAAAAGGAAACAATTTTAAAGTTATAGGATAAAAATGTCTGTGATAATTTCACAAAGTCCTAAAACTTATTTTGGTTCGGATATACAAAAATCATTAGGTTTTCTTCCTGGTTTTCCATGGGCAAAGATTTTTATAATTCATTCTTCTATCAGAGTTTATCGTAGTTAAAGTAAATAGCACATCACCTCTAACATATGAATTAATTGATCAAGAACAAATCATAGGTAGATTTTACTTTTATACCTAACGAGGTTGTGCACTGCATTAGACATCGTTTCATAACAATAATTGATTGGCCAATGTATCATGCAAAGTATCATGCACGGCTTTTGTATAATAAGTACAGCCCCATATTCTAGAAGAAACCCTACTTCCAGTTGAATGTAAACAATAGAAGTTACGTTAGTTAATAAATATAGACAATTCGGGAATACACGTACAATTATATAACATATATACACAAATCCCTTACATTTCCCCTTGTCAAAATTGAGCCCGACATCAAAATAGAGGACGAAATCCTGTCTGCTCATGATGGAATATCCATGCACAAAAAAAAATAACCAATATCCCTTCCCTCCTTGTTAAAATTGAGTTCTCCCTAAGGAAACGAAATTAGCAATACACAATTTCATAACAAGTTAAAAAGAAAAACAAAATTACATAGTTATTTTTTTTTCAAAAAGTCCCATGAATACTTTTCTATGTCCATAACTCAGTAAGATGCCAGTCCTACACTCAGGCACAGGACACTTCATACGTTCCAGAGGAACAGGATCACGTAGGGTTTGTTGAAAATCTCTCAGCTTTTCCTCATCGACTTTTAATTTAAATCCATTTTACTGAGACCTACAACCATAATATATTCATTCCCATTATCGGTTACCAGAAGAGGCCCGAAAATATCAATAGAGATGTCAATTTTACTAATGGACTAAAATGGACTCTAATGGATAGAGGCTTAATCCTGAATGACAGTCCAAGAAAACTTTTTACATCCTTCAAGAAAGTAGGTTCAGGCCATTCTTTAACTGCTTTAGTCTTTCCAGGGACACATACGATACCAGAAGCTGAAACAACATGTCCTTTAAAGGTCACATTTGGTGGGTTTCAACATTAGATTTGCATTCCACAATCTGCGAAAAACTACCTGTAAATTAGCCAAAGCAGATTCAAAATCAGAACCAAATATTATCGTAAAACCTACTGGGATTTCTATATCCTTATAGTTCATATTCAAAACACAAGTGACCAGATTTTGCCAACAATAATTTCCGATTTACAAAAGAATCATTAGGCTCCAACAATACCGTCGTCTCATGCATATACTCATCGGGCCCTAACTGTCCGCGAAGGAATGGTGACTGTCCCGGTAACAGGTTAGAATTTCAGTCTTAAGAACAAGCGGGATGGACCGAATCATTTCACTAAAATTAATGTTGCACTTGTTTTTCAATGCAAAATCCATGCCCAGAATTCTGTTAAGTTTCAAATCCACAACCAAAAATTCATGTTTAAATGGTATATTTGACACAGTGGTCGGACAGAATTGGTGTCGTATAACATAGGTCGATTCTGATTTGAAATTTTCAATTAATCAGCAAATGACAACGAAAATGTTGAACCGGTGTCCAATAGGAAGGATCGTTCTTCTAAGTTACAGGTTTTCATGGAAATGTAACAACAGGGAGCAAATGGACGTTCGATTACTTCTAGTGGCAAACTTTCTTTCAATTCAACACCTTTATTTTCATTCAATTCAAACCTTTATTTTCATTCAATTCAACACCTTTATTTTTCCCAACTATCTTTAATCTCACTAACCTCCTAATTCGCAATTGATTCTAATGATACATTTTCAGTTTTGACATTATATGTGTGCTGCTCTCTTAGTCTGAGGACTGACGTGGCAGCTAAAAGGTCAGTCCTTACTGGTTTAAAGCCCCCCTGGGCCCCGTTTCTCAAAAAATCTTACGATCAATCGTAGGCCGTAAGTGTTGATTTGATCATAAATGGCATTTCTCAAAAAATCATAAGATCAAAATTATCGTAAGTGTACGACTAATTCTGGTGTAAACTTACGAGTGGTCAAAGCTGTCGTAACTATCAGGTGGTAGAGCCAAATGGTCTTTGTTCAAAATAAGTAACTGTATTTAATGGGAAAAAAGGAAAATCTGACATCAGATTTGATCCCCAAGTGTCTTTGACTAAGCAAGAAATTGTCAAGACACTGACCACCCTTCTCGATTTTTCGCCTTCGTCCCAGTTGAAATCCGCCATTTTTTTCGCTTCGGCGATGACGTCAAAACAGCGATAACGTCATCATTCAGTTTCATTGACTGTGGAAATCAAATTTCCGAACACTTTGAATTGCAATGAACAATTTCGCCACGTCCGTAAAATCTACTTGATTTTTCATTCAAATCGATCTCCTTGTCGCCTCGCCTTCAATAGACATTTTGTCATCTGCTTTTAAGTCTGTATTGCGCATGCTTAGTTTAACATCTCAAACGTACGACAATTTGTATCGTAAGATTATTTGTGACTCTTACGATAGCCTTTGAGAAACGCACATAATCGTAAACTTAAGACAATCGTAAGTTTAATCTTAAGTCGTAAGTTGTACAATTTTTTGAGAAACGGCCCCCTGGTCTCCCTAAAAAGCATTCCACTTAGGACAGTTAGCTTTAATGTGCCCTTGTTCCAAACAACAGTAATATGTTAGAGATTCCCTTACTCCATTGCGAGGGGCAAAGGGTTGTGCCTACGGATAACCTCATCAAGGCCCATCCAACATCGGAACCCCATTTCGGCGTCCGTCTTCATCTCTATTATGGAACCTATCAACTCGTGAATGTGAAAAATTATCATAAATATTAGCATATGGCTTGTGACTCCGATTAAGAGGACCTTAGAACACTTCATACTCCACAGCGCAACCAATTGCCTGGTCTTCGGTGCAAACTGCACATGTCTTTTCAACTCATGATTGCCTAAACCATGTATATAGTGATCCACAATATGTGCCTCCAAACTTTCTGGTTGCTGAGCACACTTACCCCGGCACAGCTTGACGACTATGATGTGGTGAAGTTGGCTCTAGAACGGCAACTCAATCCAGGTCATAAACCTCCAGCCCACGGGGCTGAGTATAGCAACCGGAGGCGTCATCATGACGAATAGGTGGCAGATTTTGGATATAATTTGAAGAGCTTAGCATATATACAATTGAATGATGGTGGTAGAATAACCTTCGAAATAAATTCATTATCGAATTGGTTGCTTCTTTCCGATGCTTATTTCAGATGCGATTTCAAAATTAAAGATGGAACTCAGAATCAAGTACCACAAACTAATACAACGTTAGAAAACAATTTCTTTCCATCTTTATTTAGCGAGATGGTTTAGGAAGCTTGTTCAAATCTGATAGAAACAATTAAACACCCTGGGGAATTCGACACAATGTTGAAAACAGTTTTATAT